AAGTATATTTTAAATAAATATCATCATTTAATTATTATGTATGATGACAAATTATATTAACAAGGTATTAATTATATTACATTTATTATTCTTAGGTTATTAATAAATGAAAAATTTAGTTAAATTTGGTTATGTAAATGTATGCATAGACCATTGTAATATTATATAAATCAATATTATAAAAACCTAAAAATAATGATTCTTAATGATTTAAAGGTGAAAATAATAAATAATAGATAGGTGAATGTTTATTAATTAATTATTGATAATATATTTAATTAAATTTTTAAATTATTGAGGAAGCAATCTAATGGATGAACAAAGCATTAGTTATTGCCCTAAGCATGTTAACTCCTTGTGTGATAAAGTTTATTGAATCCTAATTTAATTAATAGGTGAATGTTTATTAATCAACTATTGATTATTTAATTTATAGGATCATTATATAAAAAATTTACAAAATTAGTATTAACATTATTAAATGTAAGACAATCTCTAAAATTGATTAACCACTATCCAGTGATCAACAACATATCCCTTCTCTATAAGCTAAAGGGTAGGGTCCTAATATTAGTAATTTTTAGGAAATTGTTTATATTTAATTAATATCATTCATAAGGGATTAATAAAAATATAAAGAAATTTTGATATATTATGTAAAATCATTAAAGACAGACACAAATGATTAATATAAAAAAAAACAAAAAGAATTAGATTAGATCTTTGAGAGAAGAAATTGAATCAATAAATATTAAAATTATAAATAATTACATCAACCTCACTTCGCTCGCAATTATGATCTCTACTCCCTGAAAAAAGAATAAGTACTTCAACTCTACACGACTATGGAAGCAAAAAGTTTATTTCATACCTCGCTTAACACTCACGATTAATTTGAAGAGCCAAAAAAAAGCTCTCTCCAACTCTTACCCCCTAAAATCTCCAAAAAATATTTCGCTATTTTTTGACATCATTCTATCGAACCCAACCACTAATCGAATATAAGAATATAAATATACTAATTTCTCGCTTTCCAGGAAAGCTAAGGGTTTGGACTAAAAATATAAATCAAAAATATTCTACTCATCATAAATGAATTCAAAGCTAGTTTCAACATCACATAATTCACAATAACAAAGAAAATGAGTCAATTTTTACAAAAGTTCATTTTCCCCCCCCCTAAGATTTGTCGGGTTGCGACTGGTGTGTTACAAATAGTTTTTGGGAGAGCAACTGATAGTGTTTTTTAAATATGGTTCCGATAGTTTTAGCACCAAAGTATAAGTTTGAGACAGGTGCTACATGTGCCCTCTATTTAAACAGGAGCATGGGTTCATAGTGGGTAGTAAAACCCACTGTGCTTCTTTAAGGTGAAGAAAATTATCAAGGAGAACAGAAGAGCAAGATCAGTAATAACTCAAATAGTATAAAAGGTTTGCTCTTTTCCCTGTTGTATTAAATTTAAATTTATGAGAGTTCTTAAAAATATGCCTTTTCTCTAACATAAGGTTACTTAATACAATAATATTAAAGTTTAAATTTTCTATTGAAAACTAACAATTTATATTAAACTATAATATTCCAATGTTTTAAAAGTTACCTGAAAAATTTACAAATATATATGCTTTAAAATATTTATTAGATTTGAAAAATGAATTAATCAATCATAAAACTCAAACTAAGTATTAATTACATTGTTCATATAATTATTAGTTATTTTATATTATTAAAAATCAAGTAATGCAAATATTGAAATGATTTCTCAATAGCATATTATACCTCAATTATAATAAATACCAAATCTTCGCAAAGTTTGAACTTTTATTTTCCAAAAATTCATAAGATATTTTTATTAATTTTGCAATATATAATTTAAATTTAAAGTAATAGAAATTCGATTTTTAAAATAAAATATAATGAATTGCACTTTTCATTTTCAAAATCAAATATCGTTGATCTGTAG